TACCTATCGCCTTGTAGGACATACCAGCAGAATTCATGCCAATAATTTGCCTTCTTTGCGCCTCGGATATCCGTCTTCTTGCCATTCTTACTTAAAATGATCTTGCATTCAGAAATTCGGGACTTAAATACGGATTTGATGCACGAGAAAATAGTGCATATTGGACGTGAAGAAGGGAGCAAGTTGCACGTGGGGAAAAAAACGTGCCTGATTTAAATGTCACACCTGAACGCTCACATCCTTTTAATTAGGTTTGAAATTATGAACATTGCTCAACATCATGAAAATTAAACCTTATTTTCAATAAGCAATCCTGAAAAATATTTGGGGGTGCTTAACTTTTTTCCAGGTGTATATAATACAAAGGTCAGCTTTACACTTTTCATGCTATGATATAGAGGGGTTTACCAGTTTACATACTACTACACAACATCAAAAGTTATTTACCACTTTACATGGTACTGTACAAACAGCACTGACTAACTTTACATGTTCCTATTTAGTACAAAGGTCTATTTACTACTTTACGAAGTACTATTTAACCCTTTACATAGTACTATATAACAGCTAGGTCTATTTACCACTTTACACAGTATTATTTAACACAAAGGTCTAATTCACTACACACAATACTATATAAGAGACAGGACTATTTAACACTTTACATACTGCTATATACTAGGAAGGTCTATTTACCATTTTACATACTACTATATAACAGCAAGGTCTATTTAACATTTTACATACTACTATATAACAGCTAGGTCTATTTACCACTTAACACAGTACTATTTAACACAAAGGTCTATTTACCACTTTACATACTACTGTAAAACACTAAGGTATGCTTACCACTTTCTAAGCTACAATATAATAGCAAGGTGTATTTATCACATTACTTACTACTGTATCACAGCAAGGTCTATTTAACATTTTACACGCTAACATAAAATATCACATAAAGATGTACAGAAATAAACTGTTTAACTACCAACATCTATTTACCACTTTACATGCTACTATATAAACAAGATATATTTATGAATTTACATGCTACTATGTAACAGCAAGGTCTGTTTAGCTCTTTAAATACTACTATGTAACAGCAAGGTCTGTTTAGCACTTTAAATACTACTATACAACAACAAGGTCTATTTAGCTCTTTAAATACTACTATATAATGGCAAGGTCTATTAAACACTTTACATACTACTATATAACAACAAGGTATATTTAGCATTTTACATACTACTATATAACAAGGTATATTTAGCACTTTACATACTACTATAGAACAACAAGTTATATTTAGCACTTTACATATTACTATAGAACAACAAGTTATATTTAGCACTTTACATATTACTACATAACAGCAAGGTATATTTAGCACTTTACATACTACTATATAACAACAAGGTATATTTAGCATTTTACATACTACTATATAACAACAAGGTATATTTAGCATTTTACATACTACTATATAACAATAAGGTACATTAAAAACTTTACATACTACTATATAATGGCAAGATATTAGGTCATCAAGAAATTAATGTTACGTTTTGGAACACTTTCACTTACCACCCCCAAAAACCGTACATCACGTATAATAGTTAAACGAACTGCCTAAACGGCACGTTAGTGTAGCCTATATAATGTGTATAGTTTAGTATACTCTAATCCCTTTTAGTGATGGCACACGACAAGACACACATTTGGCATGTAATGCTGTTTGAATACAGGAAGGGAAACAATGCTTCTGTAGCCACAAAGAATATCAAAGAAGTTTATGGAAATGATTTGAACATTTTTAAGTGTCAATGATGGTTTAGCAAATTTGGTTCAGGTGACTTTAGCCTTAAAAACTGTGATGGCAGGGGCCGGCATTGATATTGATGCTCTGAAGATGCTTGTTGAGTCTAACCCAAGGCAACACATTCATGAAATGGCCCTGAAATTGCATGTCTCTCATGAAACAATACGTAAACATCTAAGAAATATGGAAAAACTTCTTAAAGAAGATGTTTGGGTGCCTCACAAACTCTCTGATGATCAGTTTCCAACATGTGAATGTTGTTTCATCTCTTCTGGTGAGTAATGCAAATGAACCATTTTTGGACAGAATTTTAAGTGCCAAAAACAATGGCTCAGTCCTAGACAAAAACCACTTCTGACCCAAAAACCTGGACTCCATTTGCAGAAAATGATGCTTTGCATTTGGTGGGACATCAAAGGAGTAATTCACTTCGTACTCCTCAATACACAGCGAACTGTCAATAGTGAGCAACTGGAAAGTTTAAATCAAGCCCTTCATCAGAAACACCCTTCATTCGTCAATTGGAAAGGTGTTCTTCTTCTCCACAACAATTCATGTCCACATGTGGCACATTTGATGCAACACAAGATTATAGAGTTGGGTTGGGAAGGTCTCCCCCACCCACCATACTCTCCGGATATGGCATCATTAGATTACCATCTTTTTCCTTCACTGCAACACCTTCTTAAAGAGAAAATGTATGCAAATGTGGGTGTTAAAGAAGACATCAACATATTTTTTGCTTCAAAGCCAAGTGATTTCTTTAATCAGGGCATTAACAACCTGATTGTAAGATGGAAAAGCATCATCGATAAGAATGGAGACTATTTCATTTAATAAATGCTTTGTTTTGATGTACAAGTTACTTGGGTTTTTTCATCTAAAAAAAGTGACATTAATTTCTTGACAACCTAATATATTTACCACTATATAACAGCAAGGTATATTTACCACTTTATATGCTACTATATATACATTGAGGCCTATTTGCCACTTTACAAAATACTTATCGACTATTTAAACACACACCTTAAAAGACCATTAATTTCCTCAATTATGTGACGTAGCTTGTAGTAGGCATCTTGAGGAGGAAGTTTAAGCTCAAGAACAAGCCGATCAATTTTGTTGATGCACAATGTTATTGCCATTCGCTCCTGTACAGCATGTTTAACAAGACGTTCTGTATTTAATGAAACCTACAAGAAAAACAAAAAGTAATTTTACATCAAGTAGAATGTATTTTTACAATGTGAGATCACAAAAATGTTCATGAAATAAGGCAAAATACTCTTAACAGATTATACAAATGTAACAAGTGGAAAAAAAAAAGAAAGAAAAATATTCATTCATAACTCAAATTAAATACTGTCAACCTCTGGCTATATATATACTAACAAAACACTCAAAGGAATTATCATTCTATTTGAATTTATAGATATAAAATGTAAATTATAGTATACAAAAAATAAACCACAAAAATAAGGACATGAATTACAAATTATTGTTTAAATAATAATTTTAAACATTTGGTCACTGAATTTACAAACAGTTCTGTTATCACAAGAACAGCATACACAGTTTAGGAATACAAAGAAAGCCTATTCAATAAACACCTGATATAATGATTAGTAGACAATTTCAATTTTTGTATTCCACAACAGATAATTTATAAGTATATATTTGACGGAGATGTGCTGATATTACCAGAACTGCAGAATGACTGAAACAAAAAATGCACATAAAAAAACAGAAACTTTAACACTACAATTACTTGTTCAGTCAACCAAGTAAAACATTTATGTAGAAATATTAATCCTCTGAAATTGGGTTTGGTCAAACTGTATATCATGATTTCTTACAAATGTTCTGAGTTTACATGCTACAGTGTAAACATCTATTTATGAATTTACATGCTACTATGTAACAGCATAGGATCCTTGGAGAGGAAGGAATCTGATTCAATGACAATGATTTCAAAAAACTAGAGACTGTGATGAAGTTCTCCAGGGAATTTGCTAAAAATTGGTCCAGATTAGTTTTCACTAATCTTCACAAATCCCCAGGGTGCCTCAATAAACATTTGGAAGTTTAAAATTCTGATGGCTCAAATCTTTATTGTATATTCTTCTTATGCTTATTCAATTCAAACAATGTACATATATAAAATGGCTAAATGGCTACTTAATTATTTCTAATTGTAATCATGCCATGCTTTAAATAAAAATATTACCCTTATTCATAATGGTAAAACATTGTTATTATTTAATTATCTATATATCTGATTTACAGAAGATTGGTGTGTGTTTAATGCATATTTAAAAACAAACATAATGGCAACTATGTGGTGGTATTTAGATGACATTAGTAATTCATTTGCAAAGTAAGATATATCCAGATTAGTTAAAAATAATAATAATTTGTGACAAAAAACATTTTTTGAAAAAATGGTAAAAACATAACAGAGTAATTCTGTGTTTGCAAAAGTTATGAAGTTTTAGAGCATCTGTTTATGATTTAATTTTATTTGTATAGGATTGGAAGTTACAGGGGGCCTGTAATATTTAATCAATCTAATGTAATTGATTAATAAGCCCATCAATTAATTGATTAACAAATATTACTAATCACCCAGCTTTAGACTAAAGATGGATAACTTTCTTTTCATATTATTCACATCTCAAGTACTGAAAAATAACAGATCACTTTTATTCAGACTGTTCTGTTCACATCTCAACTAATGAATAGCAATTAAAACAAATTATGAGTGAAAGCAAAGAATAATATGTTATAATATGTCAACCACACTACTTCTTCCATATCCAGTGCCAATGAGGCCTTTTGCCCAATGTCAGAGTAGTGGTAGCCTATGTGCTATACATATCATCAATCTAAGAGAACAGAGACGATTAACCCTTTTCAGCCTGGTATTTAAAGTTTTAAAAAGTAAAAACATTTAGCAATATTTAAAGGCTCTTATGCTAAAGTTAGAAAGCAAGAAAAATTATGACAGTTATAGGACATTATTTGTTTTGTGCGTATTTTATTATTTTGTGTTTTTAGGTGCATTATTTAAGTAAATAAAAATAATTTATTGTATCATTATTATACAAAAGTAGGCTTCAATTTCATCAGCAGCTGACAGCAAAAAACAAGAAGTCAGTGTAAGTGATATATTTCTCGTTTTTCATGCTATATTTATTATTAAAAAATAATTAAAATGTAAAAATTAGAAACTAGTTGGGTTAAATAAAATTAGATTAAGTAAGAAAATGACAGACAATAATAATACTATAAAAATTTCTTCACAAGATATTGCTTGTGCTATATGTAATTAAATACAGTAATATGAGCTACCTGTTTGCTGAGTGGTTTACAATTTGTGTGGTAGTATTATTAGTTAAACATGGGTCAAAAAGCAATAAAACAATAAAAGTATAAACAGCTATATATTGTTAATAATTTTAAGCTATTGAGGATAAACAATTGTAGTTTCCTGTTACAATTTGCAGTCATTCTAGAAAGAAAAAAAGGGAATTTAGATTTATTTTGTATTTTTTATGATTACAAAGTCAGTCAAATGGACTTAATGCATACAGAGTTAGGGTAGAGAAAATAACAGATAAACTATAAGGTTTTAGAGATTATGAAAATGAAATTTGACAGTTTTCAGATGAAGAAAAGTATTTTTAATCATAACATGAAAATCACTTTGCACTCGGAGCAGTCAATACTCTGACTTCATATATTCACAGACAAATGTTTACTAAAAATATGTAATTACAAAATTTGGTTTTCTTCTATGTAAAAGATATGCAATGTTTGCTGAAAGCTTGCCCAATTTCATGAAGATACACAAAACATATTAAAAGTTATAGTATGGAAACTCTGATGGTCACTTTGGGGTTATGAACTTAGTCGAATCAACTGAGCCCATAGCAAGAAGGTTAACGTTATTTCACATAAAGAAATTTTATAAAATCAAAACTGTTAGCCCTAGTTTTCAATTTTTGCCCTATTGATTAATTATTAGAGATGGTGTATATTGGTAAATTTGACTCCACAGATACAACTCTTTTCAATGTATGAAAGAAACTCAGAAATGTGCAAACTGTGCACAAGATTTTTGCTTATTTGTTGCTCAAATAATTTGAAACTGTAAAGAACTGTAAAATCTAGCTTTGCAAATGTTTTTTTAATTAATGACTATCAAGTTTCTGAGGCAAGTAAAATTCTAAATATATCATCTGAATTCTGGGATTATTTTCTTTCATGTAATCTATTTGCCACAGCTATCCCTTAATTCCTTGCATAAATACACTAGATTGTAAAGATGTACAATTTCTTACAATGTCATGAAGGGCTTCTATCTTTTAAGTTACTAATGGTTTTCTGTTATTTGTATACCACAAAAAGGCACTAAATTAATTTATCAAGTTTCCACCAGTGTTTATTCAGTTTAATGAAATGGTTGCTTTGGCAGTTAAATTGCCATACACAATAACTCCAGCTTTTGTAACTTTGTATGAAGCCCCTCAGGTGAAGTTACAGGTTATGACAGTCATCATTTTGAACAAATTTACATAACTTACTAAAAAAAAGGACCTAGATAAGTTTTATATGTAAGATACAGTAAAATAAATACTTTCTCTTTATATTTGTTTTAATGCTTTAGACAAGAGGTTCCCAAATTGTGGCCTACCATACATCTTCAGGTGGTCCACAGAATAATTTCATCATTACAAAAAAGTGTTCATAGGTTCCGTGGGAAACTCAACACTTAAGATCTTAAAAATTCAGCTATATTAGCAGAAAGGACATGTATAGATTAAGTGCAGAAGTCTAAAACTCTATGTTATATGTTTTTTGAGTTAGAATGGGAAAATGTATTCTTTACTTCAGAGTTTTCACACATTTTAAAATTGCCTTTGCCTGCTGGTTTCTCTACAAAAGAAGAAGAATGCTTGTTGGAGCTTTCTTGCAACAGAACATTAAAGTAAGAGTTTAAAGAAACCCAATATTACATAACACTGGAGAGTACTTAGAACTTGCACACAAAGCAGTTTGTTTTCTATACTAGTTACTACTATATGTTGTACTTGTCAGAATTTTAATCATTTGCAGCCCTGAAGTCCAAATAAAGAGGCAAGATGAATCTGACAAGAGGCTAAAGCTGATGACTTTTTTTTGTTTGTTTGTTGTGAATTACAAAAACTACACAACAGGCTAACTGTGCTCTTCTCACCATGAGTATTTAAACTAAATTTTTAGTGTTACAAGTCCTCAGCTGAGCAAAGGGTGGCAAAGCTGGTGAACATTATATCCAATATTATAGAATTCTGCTCAACTAAACAGGTGCATCCATCACATTAATACACAGAAAGGTAAGTCTGTGGTTAATATTATAGTAATATTTAAGTGTTTGTTTTATTAAATTACACTGTTATTAAATGGCTCACTAACACCTCCCCCCAAAAAAAATTCATGAAGTCTGAGAATAAACAGTTTAGGAACCAATGCTTTAGATGATATTTCATTGCATAATTTCTTTCAACAAAGTGGCCTAGCACATGATGTCATTAGGCTTATCAAAGTATATACATGAAAACTGGCTTTCAAGTTAAGGTTATGGGGGTCACATGCAGCAGTATACCTGTCATGTTTATGTTAACCCTTTAAAAGGTTAATGAATTTAAAACTTCTTAATGAAATGAAAGTTAATGAACTGAAAGATTATATATGAAGTTAGTGTTTAATTTAATTAAGTGCAAGTAATTGAAGAGTGTCTTAGTGAAGCAATAAGCGTGAAAATATGTAAATATTAGTCTTTGAAAAAGTAGGTCAAAAACTCTGCTTGATCATCACAATTAATTCTATGTATATGTTCTTGTTACTTACTCCTTCTGCAGCATCTACAAAAATCACCACCCCATCACATAACCTCATGGCTGCTGTAACTTCATCAGAAAAATTAACATGGCCTGAAAAGTAAATATTACAGAATGATCATACAGTACATTCAAAAACAAATCAGAGTTTAAAATATGAGTCCCACAACTCTAGTAGTTTGACCTGTATGTAAACAAAATTATAAATTAGTCTAAGTTGAGATTTTTGAAACATTTATACTTGTTTCAGAAAATATTTGAGAAGCCTTTTAAATAAAACTAGTTTTCTATCATCTTGAAACTTGCACTGTGTTAGGTTATTATCAGCTGATTACACAAGAATTTCTATCAAAATATACAGCAATTGGTCAAAATACATAAATTAACAAGTACCTTTCTTCAAGAAACAAAAAAATATTACTTGTTCAAATCACTATCAAACAGATAGAACTACTTCCAACTTACTGTTACCACACAAAAACACTAATGTATTTAATTCAATATTTATAACAGTTTTAGTCTAATGTTCTTAGTAGATGTCCAAGTTCAGATGCTGGAAACATGGCAAAATGTGATTATGCTAATACAAGAAAAGTGTAGAGAAAGCTAATAATGCATACACTCTACATCTTCACTTGTATTTTTAGCTATATGGTTAAAAATAGTGGAAGTTAAATATTCTGTTGGTTAGCTTATCATTTCAACAATTTTGTTACTTTCTATAAAAACATTAGTCATAATGCACTGCATGTTAAGACTGCACAATGCAATTCATGCATATTAGATACAAAAATACATAATTGATCTGATTTTTCTGAAAGTGAGGTTTTAAGGTACTAAAATGTACTAGAATTTTAATGCTTGCTATTAGTTCTGGATTACTCAATGTTATTGATAAATATAAGCAGATAAATATGAAAAGTAATAAAAGTAAAACAAACAAGTCACTAAACTCAACACAGGATTATTAATGATGACAAGCAAAACTAGACATTTAGATACAGAAACATTATACTAAACAAAGTGAATATTAATCAGTGGTCCATCATTGCCTTGTATTACTGTTTGTTTTTGAATAATTTCTTAACTAATCTAACTTTTTAAATAGCTACTAATATACTAGTTTAGTACATATAGCTAAAAATAAAGTAAGTAAAGAATTGTAAGAGGTTTCCCTATTTATATGTATCAGCCACAGCTCTTCTACAATATAATAAAAATTGGGACAAGAAAAGATGGTGTGGGGGGGGGTAATATTTAGGAGTACAAAAATCTCCTGACTCAACTACAATAATTATATGGTACATTGACTGAGAGAGTCATCAAAAATAACTCTGAAACTAAAGATTGGGGATATTCACAGTTTTCAAAGTGTACAAACTACAGCAAAAGTTTGACATAAAATATCAGTTTGTCTATCTTGATAGGATTTATTGGAAAAAGCAAGTACTGCCAGTGTTAACACATCCAATTTTTACTTGTTATACACTTCTTATGAAATCAAATAAAAAGGTATTTAACTGTTGGGTAGATATCACAAGCTTACACATTTAGTGAATAGCTACTTTAAACCAGTTTTTGTTTGTGTAATGTAATATTGGGTGGATATATGAAGCTTACACAATTAGTGAATAGCTACTTTAAACCAGTTTTTGTTTGTGTAATGTAATATTGGGTGGATATATGAAGCTTACACAATTAGTGAATAGCTACTTTAAACCAGTTTTTGTTTGTGTAATGTAATGATGGGTAGATACAATGATGTTTACATAATCAGTGAATAGCTATTTTAAACCCATTTAATATCTCATAATTTTGAAACCGTATACATAATAATCACAACCTACAGTGATGGTTTTTCCCTGAACAATTTTATATCCTCTCACTAGTTGAGAACTGACAATATTTAAATGGGTTAATTTTTATGAAAGTATTCATAAGAAGTTATATTTTTCTAAATATTCATTAAAGTACAATAATTTTATTTTCCCTATAGCAAATAATTTTTATAAAAGTGTTACTTTATACGATATTCATTAAGAAACACAACTTGATAAAGCCTAGTGTCCAACACTCCGGATAATAATGATTTAATTGGCAAGAAAATGTGTTTCATTAAAATATTAAAACTCATTATTAATGACTTAGTAAAAGCCACATACCTGGAGTGTCAAAAATATTCATCAAATATGACTTTCCTTTTAAATCCTGCATCACAAGAGTCACTGGAGTAGCTTTGATACTGACTCCTCGCTGGAAAATTGCTAAGAAATATTTATCTAGTAATGGTGGATTTAAACAATGTTAAAATTCTAACACAGAAAAATTAAGTAGGTAGTGGTTTATTTTTTATAAATCTAATAATTCTAAAAGAAAGAAATTTTAAAAAATCCAGAAAATAGCTAAAATGCAATTGAAAAAAAGTTATCAAATAAAAACAACATTTTGTCCCTGTTAACATGACATCATCAGATGATTTTTAAAATATTTGTAAGGTGTGTGAAATCTCCAACACCTATAAATCAAATAAAAAATTTACTGGTAGCAATTTATTTAAAATGTAATAATTGTAATTAATAAAAATAATACAACATTTACACCATAAGTGTTGCCAAAACATATAGCAAAATAAACATCAATATGCATGTGTATCTGTTCCTTATACATTTCCACTCTACATATTTTGATCAATCAGCACCAAACTTGAGACAGTAATACAGGATGACATGTCGAAGGTGATGAAGGGGGCATTTGGACAAACCCCCACATATAATTTCATATTGATAGAATTTTTAAAAACAGTATGTCATTCTTTTCAGTATTGGTACCTTTATTTTTCATGCACTTTTAATGTTTATTATGTTAAGAAAAAACAGAAGCCTAATTTCCTATCCTTTGTTAAAAACATGTTTTTGTTTCACCCTTCCATCAGACGAGTACTCCAACAAGTAAATGATAAAGAATTAACCTTTCATTATGCCAAAAATGTTTTTGTGTTTTCTACCCTTAATAGAGATTTGAAATATCTGAAATCTGAATTGCCCACCAGCATGGTCAAATTTGCACTAGTTTCCAGGCTATGAGGGAGTAAAACTCAAATCCCAAAATCCCACCCAACACATGGTATTTGGCTACAAATTACACCATCGTTCCTCAGTTCTATAAAGCCATTTTCTCTGTGGTTTTCACAGGTTCTGTTGATACAGATGGCCAAGGAAGGCTCAAAAGAGCTTCCTTGCCACTGTAAGATAACTAAGTGTGAAGAAAAACACTTCTTCTATTTCATGCAACAGTATCACAGTCTGGCCAACCTCCCCCAAACTCTGGCCAAATACTACTTAGAGGTGCGTTCTTTTGGCTATAAAGGGAAACAGATCATAATCTTTATCAGAGTACAATTTTTTTTCTAATTTGAATACTGAACACTGTGACACCACTGTGTAGCCTACCAAATCCACTTTATTTGGTCTCACTGACTTGCAGACTGGGTGTTAAAAAAGTTAATTCTAAGAAAAATATATTTTTATCTGATAGTTGCTTATTTTAAAAAGTTAGTTCTAAAACAAAGAAATATTAACCTTGTAGAAGATGATTTAAAAATATTAACAATTGTAATAACAAATATTTCTCTGTAATGATTTATTTAAAAAAAAAATTACTTCTTGCTCAGTATTTAAAGTGTCTGTATAACAAAGCTGAAAGAAAAATGCATTTTTACCTCTATTCATATAGTGTCCATAGGAAGAAGTTGAAAGAAAAAGGGAACTTACCTCTTGCTCAGTATATAAGGTGTCTGTATAACGAAGCTGAAAAAACACCAAAATTAAATCAGTAAGAGCTGAGCTGGCCTATCAATAAAAACAGCTGACTTAGAAGGATGCAAGATTAGGTCTGAAATTCCACATTTACACGAAAGTAGCTAAAAATGTAGTTGTGGAAATGTCATTTTAAATATTATGAATTTTTTATGCTTTATGAAATCGTAAATTAATAAATAGTGAAATGTACAGAAAAGGAGAAAAACACATTCACTTACATTTTTCCCTTCTTTAACACACAGGTCTGGATGGGTCTGTTCAATTAAACAGTCAACAAAGGATGTCTGAAATGTTCGAGTGAATACAGTAAAAAACAAAATAAATTTAATATCCAAAGAATACACCTATATGACAAGAAAGGTCACAATGGCTAGTTTTAAAACCATTTTTCAGGCTGATAAAGATCTAATGAACTTCGACTTCATTTTTTATATACAACTCTGTACAAAAAGCAGAACAAAAATAACAAGGGAGAAAACCAGAGTACAATCAAAATAATTATGGAACAAAAGCACTCTTGTCAACACACTTAATTGTTATACTCAATTTCTGTATTTTCAATGAAAGGAATATTAAAATTAAAATAAATCTGCTTTGATTAAGCACTAGGAGTTATGGCAAAAAGAAATAAACACTGCTAGTTTATCAGTAAGTTAATATCTGTCCATTTTTGGATTATTTTATTCGCATTTTGATTTATGGCAAAACTACTACAGTGATCTGTTGCAGTCCCTAATTTTTGTATTACAACCACAAAACAAAATGCAGCCAGTTAACAGCATCCTATCACCCATTCTAATAGATTGTTATAACACTCACACAGCTAAAAACACAGGGAATATTTTGTGGTATTGCATACATTCATACCCAGCTTTAAAACTCATATCTCTACCACAGGGCTCTGAATTACATTTCTGATAATTTTAAATCAGGATCTATATCTTTCATACTTTACCATGGTGCCTGTGGGCAGGTGACTGCAGCAATGTTTCTGATGAGATAACATCTATTAAGTTCTGGATCATTTTAAATCAATGGCTATCTTTCTTACCTTTCTATGGTGCAGGTTAGCTATTAAACCATTGATTCTGATGAGATAATATCCGTGAAATCTGAATCCTTTTAAATCAATATATATTAGATATGAAAATATCTTTCCTACCTTTCCATGGTGCAGATGGCCTACTAAAGCAATGTTTCTGATGAGATCTGTATTATCCATGAGGTCAGCCAGAAACCTAAATCAAAAGCTTACCATTATTATATTAAATTATTACACAAAAACAATCAATTTAAAAAAACCTTTAATCCATTTGATTTCTCACTATGAAATACTGGTGATTTAGATATAGATTTAGATTTTACATATCCTTTAACTCCCTTGCAATGGGGTCAGTTGATCCAATCTAGTTTGTGACCCCAAATTGACAAGCTTTCAGTAAACATTACAAGTATTTGTAGACAAAAAGCTACACAAAGCTACATCAATCTTCTCTCTACTAAAAGATTTTAACGCTCAGTTCACCAGTCTATATACCCCACAAATTTCACACCCCTTTTGAACATGTATATAGCAAATGACCATCCTCCACCAAATAGTACAACACCATCTATATTGGCAACTAGTTCTCTCTAATTTTCCCACTCAATCCTCACTTTTGAGAATTGGGATGATCTAAAATGAATAAAACTGGCAGTGGGGAGGAAGGGCGAGAAGTGTGTGAGAAGTGGTAAGTACCTATCAGAAATATATTTTCAGTGTAAGAAAATGTTAACAACTGATACAGTCTTACATCTCACACAAAGCTAGAATCCCACACTGAAAAGATGAAGAGGCCAGTGTAGGCTACTAACAGTGAAACCAAGTGGAAAGTGGCCACTTAGAAATAACTAGTGTGCTCAGAGACGAAAACAAAACACACATGCAGGGCCCCCATACTACTTCTGAAACAGGTACACTCTTCCCCCATAAGAGCGGAAAAACAAAGATGTGCACAAGCTTAATTAATTCTGAGAGGTGTAATGCATAGTAAGACACAGCAAGTTTGAATCATCCTCCATCGCACAAACCAGACTTGAAAACAGCCAGCTCCTGTAGATGAAGAACCACTCTATGAAATAAAAACCTGAGGTCAACTCGATACCCACATGAGAAGAAATAGCAAGTTAAGGGACAGTTAGCTGAAACATAATGATAGAGAAAAACTGTCCTCAGCATTAGAAAGTTGAGAATCATCCACATGAAAACAAAATTAAAGTAACATACACATTGTGGCTAGGGCATGTGGATCAAGTAATATATATATATATATATATAAATATACATATACATTCATACATACACCAACCCCAACCATATGTAAATAGTGTCATACGTCAAGCAAGCAGAATTACGAAGAGAAAGTTGGCATTCGGCCAAAACCAGACAACTACTCAAAACTACCGTAGGAGCAAGAGGTAAAAGAAACCAAACCCAGCATTACAGGGTGGTGTTGTTGTGTCAGGTATTTATAGGGTCAGATTCTTCACAGTATGTGTCTGTGACTTGTTGGTGATCAACTTCAACAATAAACAAACAGCACACAATCCACTTGTTTTAAAACAATATATTCAAAGCAAGTCAAATGTAACTACAAAAAAATTCATTACACTATTCTTTACCACAGTTGAATCTAGAGTTTTAAATAATTCTCTTTTTCATCAGAAGTCCACACAGGCTGGTTCAATTATATTAGAACCCAACTGACAAGACAAATTATTCTTCTCTATCTCTGTTGTTAGTGTACAAGCTGTGAAACTCACTTCAAAATCACCTCTATTATTACAGTTGTATCCAGAGCTTTAAATTACTCTCCTTTTCATCAAAGTCCATACAAGCTGGTTCAATTACTTTAGAACCCAGCTGACTAGACAGATTCTTCTTCTCTCTCTCTCTCTCTCTGTTGTTACAGTACAAGCTGTGAAACTCACTTCAAAATCACCACTATAACTGTTGGTTACCACAGTTGTATCCAGAGCTTTAAATAATTGTCTTCTTTTCATCAATGTCCACACAGGTGGGTTCAATTACTTCAGAACACCCTTTGACAAGAAAAATTCTTCTTCATCTCTGTTATTACAATACAAACTACGAAACTTTATAAGTTACCCGTTATGGTTAAACTTACAATCACACAGTCTAACTTCACTTTTTTCCTCTCTGTATCTGCACATATTTATAACACATAACAGAAAAATCTAGGAATATCTAGCTCTCTAATAACAACAATATTAATCATAATGAGAAAAACTTAGAAGCTTAGAGTAAGATGACATCAACAATATTACAAGAGCCTAGTACAATAATTAAACTACATTCACAATGTATGATTCATACAGAATTATGTAACAAAACTTGTCATAACTGTCGCTTTTAAAATAATTAACTTCAACACTCTTGTTCTCAAAACTAAATAATCATTAAATATTAAATAACTAAATAAACAAAATAATAACTCTTAAATGAAATAGTGTTGTCTATCCAACATGTTGCCTCAACTCAACCGGAAGAACGGGGCAATACTTGTAACCAGTATTAAGAATACAAATTGTAACTCAGCCAACCATAAATGCAGGGAGAATACATTTACGAGAAGGATGTGGAACTTTTGCTCAACTGTAGAAACTGTGTATGTACATCCTGTTGCTGGTATTACAAGGCAGACGAAATCCCCCAAACTCAACCGTAGGAGCAGGAACAGGGAAGGAAACCTCCTACAACCAGAATTAACTAGAAAGGGGGGAGGCATTACTGCACTCAACCATTGGAACAGGTCAGTGTCATCCTGAACCCGGTATTAGGAGGAGGATCCTGTATAGATTGATCCTGCTCCAACCGGCATTCGGTCCAACTTGGAATAAGCATCCAGGTGAAAGGGAAGGAGGGAACCCAGCTTTACCCTCTTTTCACTGAATGGATAAATATGTGGTTGTGTTGTAAATTAAATTTATACTTCATACTCAGGAAGAAGCCTCCTTGGTGCACCATCTCAGTGACTGGGAACTGGTAAGAACTCCCATGCTCTATTTGGAGAAAAAAAAAAGAGGGGGTAAATACAACGGATAATTCAAAAGAATGTCACACTGGTGAAAGTGCAATGGGTGTTCACAATTTGTTATTTTGAAAAGCAAACCATTCCCTGATTCATGCAATCAAAGGGTCAGCAAGGATGAGCAGAAATCTCCTTTTGCTTTACTCCATGACTAACAATCCATCATTGAGTTAAACTTATGAATGTCTAGAGACACATAAGTATATACAGTAGAACCCAGTGCAGTGGGAAATATATGTCCCAACCGCAATGAATGGATTAATGGCACAGTGCCAGTTAATTGAGGTTCTATTGCACCACTAGGCATGCCACTAGTGGTTTTGCAGATCATCTCATCTCTACAGTGACTATTATAGCTCCACTGGTATATATTGCACGTCTGAGTGAAAGCATACCTGACCAGGCAAAACTCGCCACAGAATCGAATCCTATTAGTAGCAGTAAGTATGGTTGGCTGAAAATAAAACATAAATGAAATGTTGTGAAAAGACATAAAAGTCAAATTCGAAGGATGTGTGTAGAAACGCCATAGAAGGGAGACAATATCCATCAGAGAAAGATACAGCCAGATAGTGCAGATAATAAACAATGAAGGAATAGGGAGTAGTCCACACTCCAGCCTGAACAACTTCTTTTAACGGATGGCAACCTTCTATGGATAAGTCTGAATACACCAGCCTAAGGAGTTGACAAACCAGTTAATGTGACAAGGGATAGATCCTGGAAAACAGAAGGGTCAGGAATGTGAACCTCAAAAGGAGCCAGTACATGCCACAAAACACATCAGGGAAAGAACCTGACAAAGAAGCTAACACGGATTGAAATAGGAGTACAGGTGGGAGATGGAATGTAAAGAAGTATGTGTGAAAGCCAAAAGACCTTCCCAGACAACAGGGGTCTTAGGGAGGAAGAACAAGTATAGATATAAGATGACATAAAAGGAATGGCAGAGGATTCTGGTAAATTAATAGCACTAGAGGGGCACTCAGTAAAGTGCATACTTCCACCATGCAGCATTGATCGTATTTGGCCCTTGAAAAATACAACAATGTGTCCGTATGTCTGTCTTTATCAATGGGCATGGACCATTTTTAGCAGGACAATGAGAAATAATATTCTACAGCCACCAAGTTTAATCAAAATCCTATCATTTTTGATTGAATTATAAAGCAAAAATTTATCTCCATGTTAACTGATAGGGATTTTTTGGATTTTTGTGACCTTGCTGTAACTTTGACATTTGACCTTCTTAAAACTAATCATTTCTAAGTTGGGTCATAGTCCAAATGTATACCAACTTCTGTATTAAATCCATTCAGCTGTTTTCATGAAATATTACTGACAAACAAACATACACATACACACAGGTGAAAACATAACCTCCATCATCTTTGGTGGTGGTGACAATAAAAAATATCCAATTAATAACGTCCACGAGCAGGAGGAAAAGAAAACATAATATACCACATACCTGATTAACCAGCTGTAAAAAAAATAAATTGTGTCGCGTGTAACAGACCAAAATAAGAAGGTGCTGGAAAAAAATTAATCCAATTTTCTTCTCCTTGATTGTATTCATCCTCAGAAACATTGTCATGTTGAAAATGAGAAGAAATTCCTGACCAAATGTAGGAATTTAGCTCCCTGCAAATTAAGGCCTGTAACTCCTCAGCAGATAAAGTCAAACCTGATGCCTGGATAGTTGTACCAGAAGTATTGTCTAATGTGATAGGAACAGCCATTGTCGATACATTGAATCCCAAAGTCATTCTAAGTTACCGTATAATTCGTCAACAATAAATCAAATGCAAAAAAAAAAAAATGTAAACAACTGAATGCAAACACAGTAAAAGAAAACTGGTATAAAAGGTATTGAAATGTCAATGAAGTATAATGATAGTCCCATGCAAACAAACACACATCTAAACAATGCTGTGCCAATCAAGAAAGTTAGGATTGAACAGGTAAATCAGATGGAGCTAGCTGCATTAATATAGGTGGCACAATACTATTGGTGGAGGGTGGTCACATACTATATACATGTTCAAAAGTGGTGAGAAATTTGTGGGGTTATAGACTGGTGCACCAAGTGTTAAAATTGTTTAGCAATGCTTAGGGGCAGAAAGAAGAACAAGATAGTTTTGTGT